CAACTCCTGTAAATTTCAAGTCGATCGGATCGCAAATGGTGCGTCCGAAATTTCGAATACGGGCAATTACTCGCTAGCGTTTTTTGCTACGGCCATCGCATAAGACACTATCGTAATTTCCGTGCAAACGTGCCTAAGGGTTAACAACGTTCTACCTCGATGCAGGTGACTGTATAGTCGGTCCACGTGTTCGATGCGGTCTTTTGACAGATCGAAAACAATGGAGTCTATGGCGAGCTACACGTGGCTCGAGTTTTTCTGATAAAGTATGCATATGCCTGGTTTTCCAATTAATTATATCTTGTTATTTCTGCTTTAGCATATACTTTCAAAATTTGTATAGAAAGCCACGTGTAATTTGTTAAGTATTGAATTGTTCGCGAACTGTCAAAAAAAAAAACACATTGAACTCGTAGACCGACTACACCTAGTAGTATACAATGTTATTGACAGGCTTTCCACTCTCTATGGGTTACACAGGTAATACCTGCCAATTCTAGCTTGCGAATAATGCTGGTTGCGAATAATTCGCGAAATTGGGGTTGTCACGGGTGTACAGTTGCTGTTCGTTCTACAGCCTGGAAGTTTCAAATGAAATTTAATGCTCTTTGAGGGAGGGTGGAGTCTTTGGCAAGACAGACTATCGTTGGCCTTGTTCCTTTTGTAAATAATCCTTGTCACGTTTCACCCATGCTTTTGAGTTGTCCCTTTACGCGATGCTTGCTCACGCCTATAAATCAATATGTACATTTGATTATTGTTATTACGAATGTGCAATTAAAAGCAGTACCTATGCTTGTTTATATTAATAAAAGTAATCGAATTTACATTATACATTTAATTTATTTCTCCCATATTTTTTTCATTACGTAATATATTAATATTACCTAATCGCATCACACACGTCAAAGCGACAATTATTTGACACATCGAGCACGTGTTATGCCCGTCATAATAATCTCTGCCGGAGTCCGACAAAACGTATAGAAATGGTCCAGAATTTCAAGATGAAATCTTGCCCAAGTATGCTTCCTTATCTCGTTCGTTCCTTATCGTTGTCCTTGCTCTTCGTGATTTCCTGTGAAAGCGACAAATCGTGCAAGATGGCACCGTTGACTTTTTCCCACAGAGCAGGGAAACGTGTTTGCCAATCATGATTGATTTTTCTCGTCAATTGATAGAAAGATTTTTTTCTTCCCGCTACAAAAAGACCCTTCGTTCTTTCAACTTTTTATCGACCTGTCGCGAACGTCAGGAAAATTTTCAGTTTTCCCGGGATAAAAAAGCGACCTTGTTTTTTTTTCTGTAAAATTGTCAAAATCCCCAACGACCCCAGGATAAGCAATGTCAATTCGAATGATGGATCGTGATGGTACCTGGTTGCGAATTTGGAAATATAGCCGGTATAACCAGTACGTACGGTGTCTCTTGCCGCTGGTCATAACGTATGGGTCGAGAGAGAACGTACTTTAATTAAATTTAATAATTAACTCCCCGATGGGAAGCCGCTTCGAGTTACCCTAATTCTACCCACCAACAAGTGTCAACCGCGTTCACGTTTCGCCTTTACATTCATCATAATACTTTATTGTTACTGTATACGAACTGAGACACGTGTGCGTATCTAAATACACAAACGATACGTATTCACTTAACGCATGCGGCTGCACGCACAATTTCCCAGCTATATCCGCCATAATAAATAACTTCCGTATTCGCGCTTAACGCGAAAGGTACGCTTATTTGCATGAAGGAATCTTTCCGCAAGAATTGCAAGAGCCGTCCCACGGGCTCTTAGCCTTTCCAGATTTACACGGGTCATTTTAGCCAAAGCGTACGTACATCTTGATTTATATTTTTATCTCGTATTTTTCACCCACCCGTCCGCTATAACGGCACGTGTGCCAGAATACGTGAAATATCACCCGAGCGATATACAATATGTTTATATATAATATTTTCCATCATCAGCAAACACTTGTATTCAAATTAAATTTAATCAAATTCATTTTAACCCTCTAGCAAATATGGTTATCTATGTAAATTATCTATACCTTGTTTGATGATGTTGATTATGCGTTTATTTTTTTTTATTTTTTTTTTTCAGCCAGGGAAACGGTTGCCCAACGGCACTTCCACGGCTGCTACGTGAAAGGCAGTCAGGCTGCTGATTTTGTCAAGAGATCAATTTCGTAAATTCTTGTTTAAATTTTTCGAAATTCTCTTTGACGTAACTGACCTAGTGCAATGGAGAAGGGTATTCGATTTGAATCGCTTGGTTACCTTCGGCGTGACAAATCTATAAAGTCTACTGCTATGTAGGTATACGAGCGTCAGACACCTGGTGCATCCATGTGAAATGGTGGATGCATCACTTTTACTTTTTCCTTTCTGTATTTCTTCCCGTACTATTTTTACGAGATATTCATTTTTTCCCCTATTTTAAATATACTGAGATCAAGATGCCATGATATTATTTGATATAGAGTATGCATCATATTTTGGTATAAATAATAAAAAAATTTTTCGAATATCACTTTTTCTCATTAGGTAATAATCATGGCTGTCTACTTGGGTACCTAATGCCTAAGACTGTTATCTGCCTTGTTTGTCGCAATTCGAATTGACATACTATTTTCTCGTTTTCTTTGTAATTAAAATTCACGATTAAGCCGTCAGACTGCCATTTTATTTCTCTTTTCTCCACGCTCTTTAATACTTTTTGTTATCGTTTCTCCTTATACCAAGGAAATCCGAGGTGTTTACGATAAAGAAAACAATTCTTTTATCGAGAATTACATTTTCAGGCTCTCCTGTCATTCTGCAGCAACGAATCAATAATCGATGTCCAATGAGCTGAAAATGCGAGTTATATAGTAAAGCAGACTGTACAAGAAAGACAGAAGGTATTGAATATCCAATAAAATATTCGAAATACGTAATACGTATAATATGCTCGGAGATAGCAGTGAAATTCGGTATAAAAGACTATCTACTGCGTACCGTCCTTATGTAACTTTTATACTCGGTAATTGCACCGGCGAAATGAGATGCAGTTGCAATTGCATTCAATGAGAATAAAAATCTGTAATCCGTCGTTCTTCGATGAAATATTCACTTGGGTAGAGTGAAAAAGATTTATTTCTCTCCCCTTATCATCCCGTCGATTATATTATATATTATATATACATATATATACACGGTGGGTATGATGCACTGGTGCACCTGCATATAGGTGCAGGATGCGTGCATTCCGCGCGAAACGATTTATGAGAGGCGAAATGGTTGGCTATAAAATAACACTTCCCATTCAAATCGGCAAATTAATGGTCGTTTCCATGGATTCTTTGTTTGCATTGCTTAACAATGCCTCGCTGAGTTATTATTCTGAAATAGTGCGCCGCTGCGAGTGTTATGGTATTTCTGGAGAGACTGCAGAAAAGCTGCGAGCTTTTTTGACGGTGGACCAATAAATTGGGCTCGGATACGCTTCTTCGTTTCATGCTCGTTGGTCTGGTACGAGCTTATCCTCTTTCACGTTGGGATGGACCACTATCCTCCCATCAGTATCCAACGGTCAGAAAATGTTTGGATCGACAATCAAGTCCCGTGTTCTTTAAGCCTAGATTACCTACGTGCTAAATGGGTAACTGGAGAATAACGTGTTCATCGGTCCCAGAGAGCACGTGCGGGGAAGTCTAGGGCGAAGGTTGATGTGCATCCAGGTGCATCGACCTGTAGTTTTACGACTTTCGGATAATCGAACGGGAATTGCGTAAAATCGACTGTTTCAAAAAATTTTTGTCCAAAATTTTGAAAAAAAAAAAAAATTTTGTAACATATCTAATTTCTGATAAGTATGGATTTTTTTTTTTACATAACACTTAGTGACGATAACAGTTAAGAGACTTTTTCAAAATTAGCCAATTGCAGCACGCTTATACAATTTTGATAAAAAAAATCTAACTTTTTCTTTAGTGCCATCAATCACTTCTTGCTAAATGCGAAAAGTATTACATAATGTCCTCTAAGTCGACAGTACACTAGGAGCGAGTATATTGTATAACCTGCAGTGAAGAACTCTTCGAGAATTCGTATACATGTGGATCCTTTGAAAAGGATTTAACGAGAGAAAAATTGCATAAGTCTCACAAGAGGGAAAAGATGGGAAGGGAGTTAAGGTCGTAGCTTATGAGAGAAGGGTAGAAAATGGAGCAAGAGTAGGTGGTAGGGAGGTACGTGTGGCAGTATGGCAACCTGAGGGAATGGAGATTTAATAAAACGTCTTTCTCTCCTTCAACATTCTCGCAAATTTACCTTCAAAGTTCCACCTACCCCCTTCTGCCCCTGAAAAAGGCATTACGCGTGTTCCTTAAATCTTGATTGGGAAGGGTGTAGGTAGCCCCCATAGGTAGGTGGCTCGTTATACAAGGGTAGTTGGATACACATACCATATAGTAAATAAATATACCATACGCAACATGATATTAAAATTTAAAGTTTCTCGAAAACCTTTTTTCACGAAACTACCTGCTATCTGATAAGACCTACGCGCATGGTATGTGTCAAGACGACTAATGTAACTTTCTGTAAAAAATCGGAAATATTATCGACGTCAATTGACCAAGTCAAATCGTATTTCGTCAGGTCATCGTAGATCGAGTTATAAAACCCAAAGGGCTGTCACTTGGAAGACAGCAGAACGAAATAAAGAAAAAGTCTCTCTTCGTACTCGCAAATACAATAACCGATTCTATTGTCAATTGTTACGAGATACGTAGGATCGAATTGAAACCCTGAAAAAGACAACCAATCAGTCGGATTGTTATTTATCGTGTATTTAAGATCCATTACCGATCTAAGACCTTAATACTGTATTCCTCGTTGCCCAACCAGGATAAATGGTTCGTATTAAAAAATAAAAAAATTCTTGTAGGCCTGAATTATTGAATAATAAAAAAATGAAGATTTCAGGAAAATTGTCACTTCCTGATACCAACCTTGCGCCGGGGCATATATATTCAAATATAGGCAGTCTTCGCTCTGATTTTGCAAATAGGGTAGTAACCTCCTCAAGTATTCCAGTCTTCCCCGTGGCATCTTGTCAGTGAGTTCAGGTAATTTTTGGGGGCACACGGGTCCGAACTTATCAGCAACTTTGACCCCGTGCCAAAGTGCCCCGCTAACCGGTGGCATAAATCGAAGGGAACCTATTGGCGGCGACGCGTAAGGAACACCGCGAAACACTTCGACACTTTCGAGATAACGTTCCAAAGTCACAATCACCCCCGAGAGTTCACCGTACTTTGTCCTGACTATCCTGGAGCTGAGCTCAGCGCCGGCCATCGTCACGAGAGTGCAGATAAACAGTAGGACAACAAGAATCACGAGAGTGGAGAGCTTCATCTTGGCTGTGTTCCGCGTCAGTGTTTCCTGGGTACTGACATTTCCGACACTTCAATCATAGCCCGGGACACCTCGCGAACTGGAGAAACGTACGACGATGCAAAGGGAGGAGCCGCTCGTTGGGCTCCGTTAAAATTTTGCACATCTCGCAAGGATCCCTTCGCAGCTTCCGACAGATCCAGCATCTCATTCCGATCTCATTTCTCTATGACAAGATCATCCCTGAGACCATTATCAGTCGTCACTTCGTACGATGACCAAAGATCATTCCGCGCTATCTCAATGGGGAGTGCGTCAAGGCACGCGGGAACATTTCCGTGACGTCATTATCTGGTCAGCCGTCTTTTTAAAGGCAAACAGTACGCGTGGTCGGACTTCCTCTCCGGAAGCTGTGCAAGCTGATTTGCTTGGATACACATATAGTGGTTGGAACCTGGACCCAACGTGGTCTTAACCAAGATTAGCTGAGCTGGTGGGATTGGAAAAACTATGTAAATTGTCACTAGGAAAACTGTTAGATTTCCCTCTGGTAACACGTTTGGTAGGTACCTATTGGCTTGGTAACCCTTTCACTGGATTAAAGGCAATTCTCGAAAGGATCTACTCGGAGATTGTCCTTTGAGCTAATCCCATTGTCGAACCCTTCGATTAGGATTCCCACTACTTCACAAGGTACTACCCAACGTGACTGTACTTCCTCCTCTTTCCCTTTTATCCGTATCTTTTAGTCGGACTATCTCTCTCTCTCTCTCTCTCTCTCTCTTACTTTATTCACTGGAAAATCCAAAGAGGTCCTACTAGTCGTTTCGGAGCTTTGTTAAGCTCTGTTTGCATGTGGGATCTTGTCATTCTGATCACACGAATACCATCTCATTTCGTATGGCGTGTTTTACGTGCCGGTATACGTAAAAAGCACTGGCCCTGATAATATCAACAACAAAAATTGACTTTTGGATATTTATTGATGAACCTTATTTTTTTCATTTTCATTCACTTTTATATTTATTTCATAACTGTACTACATTGTGTATTTCGGATTCATCGATCGTGTTAGGATCCTTGCCGACGGGTCAGGATCGACGAATACAAGTTTTCGAATCTTCTTGAATTTATTAATTCCATATGTGTATCCTGATGAAATTGATCCGAGCACGTGGAGCTTCAACGATACAAAGAATTGTAGCACTCGCGTCTTTCACTGTTAACGCACGTTATGCGTATGTCGACACGTTCTTATGGAATCTTGAGATCCTTGATCGAATAACAAAGCAAGGAGCAGTTTGAGGTTTTATATAAATCACGTAGAAATTAACACATAATCGTAACCAAAGGTCACAGGTCAAACTTCAATTTAGCGATTAACATATCGTACTCCAAATTTGTAGCTAGCGACTGAAGTAATCTATACATAATATTGCGGATGTTAAACCCCAGTTGCCATTTTTAGTTACCGATCAATCAATTTTATTCCAGCTACTTTTTAATCAATAACGTCTGGCTGCGATATTAATAACTGGAGCTACAGTCGTTATGAAATGTATCATAAGATGACGTCATATTGAATAGCGCGAAAGATATAATAAGCAGACGGTGTAGTATTGTAACGCCATGTTGAAAGTATGCTAAATTACCATGTGTTAACTGGCATATAGAGAGCATGGATTATACATTTCAAAAACTTGTTACTTTACAAGCACTCGGGTTTTTGTATACGAGCTTCCACAAAATTCATATAAAAAATAAGGTATTAAAGTGCAGCTGATTTTTTTTGGATTTAAAGAAAAATTACAAAATAATGTATCACTTGAAGTTTGACCTATGCGTGATTAAAAATATTGTCACGAGGACGATATTCGAGGTGCCAAGATTTTTTACAGTAAAATTTTCATATATGTTCATTAGGAATCATGAAGCTATAAGTCGCGAGTGAACGTCGCAATGAATTTTTTTTTAAATGACAACCCTAACCGGACAACAACCTCAACGTCACATTTGAAGGACTCCACATTCTAATCCGTATAAAGTTGACCCTCAAAAAGGTACTGATGCCACCCCAACTCTATATGTACGTATTTGTAAATGTATCAATCATATATTTTGACCGAGCACATAATACGATATTCATACATGGAAGCTAAGAATATATAAAAGCGTGAAAATTTAGGGTTTTCTGCAATAGAGTTCTAAGCCAAACTAACCCTAGCAAAAGACTGATCGTAAGCAGGCACATCGCGCTTTGAAAAGCATTTGGAAAATTCGATGTCTGATCTGTTATTTAGTGCCTAAAGTAGTTCAACACACAGGGATGTATTCCATGTTTCTCAGATTATTTTAAAATTTGATGGAATAGATACTGACCAAGAGAAATGAAAAAAGAATATTTTTTGAATTGATGGTAATAATGCCTCGTCATTTATGGGATTAAAATTCCCATTGAATATATATAAAAAATTTCCCAACTGCTTGGTACTCTCGATATCGTATTATCCCCGTAATATTATTAATGAAACTCGATCACTAAGAGTTGTCGAACTTTGTTTAACAATACCTTTCGAGCTCAACATCGTTGAAAAGTAAACAAGAATATCACGCCCGCGCTAATCCATTGAATTACCTAAGTCGTCAATTGTAACGAACTTTGCTCGAGATCATTCAACCGTATTTTATTATAGGTATACAAAAGGAATCGTTAATGACAATCAAAGCGAACCTTATGCAATGTCCTTGAGGTGAAAAATAAAATGGAATCATTGCACGAGAGATACATTTAAGACAAGGAATATCAAGTATCACTCCTACATTGCACTAGTTTCTGTCGAAGAGTAGGCCAACCTCACGGGAAATAAAATTTTTGGGACACTTAAAACTGATAACACACACAGACCGTAGTTTCTCATTGAAGTATTTCCATAATCAGACACTGTTATCAAGTCATAATGACGAGTTTAAAACACACGAACAAACAGGACTCCCGTCTTATATTACCGAAATACGAAACAGCCAAACACTGAGACTTAGGAAGTTCCGTGCTCGATGTTGCTTTTAGTTCGACCCCCGACAAACTGGCGTCAGACGAGAGTCTGGTCTGCGAGTTGCGCATGCGCTGCGCAACCTCTTGCCACACACAGTCACGAAAGGGAGGTAACTACGAACGGTCGATACGGCAGGAGGGTGAAAATTACAAGACAGAAATTGGTTCGAGTCTGGGATTGGAATCGCGAGGCTTCGCGTATCTTTTTTTCATTCTTTTTGTTTGTGCTAACATCACTGTGAGAAACATTGGGAATCTGAAAAAAAGCTTTATACCTTTACCTGAGAACTGTCAAGAGTATGGATATTAATATTTATTATCTATAAAATTATAAATGATCTTCAGATCTGTATATAATTTTAATGGCAACAAACCTTCAGCCGATTACTTCGATCGGTATCGAATTTTTCTTCCCATTTGAAAAATCTAAAATAAAAAATTGGTACGTGTCTTTCGATGATTCAGGTGGCTGGGCAGGATACTGTTATTGGATGATGCCATCGTAAAAGAGGGGTATCTACACGGCATACTTAACGTCGAGGCAACGAGGCTGTAAGAACTCGGGCACCCTTTCCAAGCCATCGACTTAATTCTTTCGGGCGCAAACTATAACGCGTTTAACTCTCACCAGGCTCTACTCGGCACCCCTTGGCCTGCCTTGGCAATATCATTAACCCTTAGTCGTGTGCCTAGGCTAACATCATTCATCTACACTCTCCACAGCATATACATATATACCACATATATTTCAGTGAATTACATAGCACTCTACCAAGTTCCAATTTATCGGATGTCCTGATTAAACGTACTCAAAGCAGACCTGCTTAAATATTTTCAATTATCATAACTGTAATTCCTCAAGATTTAGGCCCTCGTCAATTTGATAACATGATTTAATGAGGAACAACGGTAAATTAATTTACGTCACCTACCCGAAGTGTACTATAGTAATTTGAATTTGAGTAAAATGGGTAATACAATAATTTCAATCAATGTTAATAATTTTCCTCTCCTTCCTGACGTTTCAATAATTTTAATTTGATTGAATATCGATTTCAAGTATCATGTTTCTATCGATTATCCTGGTGAGCGTTAATGGTAGTACGGTACAGTTGTACATTCTAGAATAAAGCCGAATAGAATTCCAACGTAGGAATAATAAATTCAGGACTAAGGGTATACCCACACGTAAACTTTCACGTGCCCTAAAATTCGTATCGAAATAATAAATTGACTCTTTCGGACTGTTTCACTCGCGTATTCTCCATTTTTTTTTTTCGTACAAATCGCGACTGCGCTGCTGGAGCATGCACGGTATAACCTAAAAGTCGATGTATATAATTTGAACACCCTATGGATATAGGGCGTATAGAGAAGCGATATGAAAATGCGTGAAATTTTACCACGTAAGCCGAAGCGTAATTCGAAAATCTTATAATTCTTTCAGCATAAATTTTTTTCTTTTTCAAAAAATTAGCTACATAGACTTATCGCTTTTTTGTTGTTCCGTCTGGTGAAGGGCCAAGCGGTTGCAGCCGCGACAGAACGTGAATTCACTGCGAGGAGACATCGAGCGCGCAAAACGAGGCTGGATGGTTGGATGGTTCGTCGGGTGGGTAAAAATTGGAGTAAAATCCAGCAGAGAATACCTACCCTTGAAAAGTTAAGCACGCTGCGCGTGACCCGGCCGACGCACACAATGCTATTATGCGAAGTAAAGGCGAAGGGAGTCAAGCGTGCCATATTCGTACAATGGCGGGAATGTTTTAAACTGTGGGTAGAGGGATGAAGTATAAGGCAAACAGATAGAATTATACAGGAAACCCATACCAAATAATAAGCCGACATCGCGGATCATTAAGAAAAAAAAAAAAAAAAAAAAAAAAAAAAAAAAAAAAAAAAAAAAAAAAAAAAAAAAAAAAAAAAAAAAAAAAAAAAAAAAAAAAAAAAAAAAAAAAAAAAAAAAAAAAAAAAAAAAAAAAAAAAAAAAAAAAAAAAAAAAAAATTTAAAAAATACAGATGCGTTTTTCATTACAATAAAAAAATTTTTTCAACTTTTTTTCAGTCATGCGAAAATTATTACGTCATCCGCGCAACGGTCGACATGGAAAATACATCTTTTTGAGAAATCAAGAAACCCTTTGTACGCGTCTTGCAATTACAACGAGGACATCGGCAAACGTGAATCCTTAAAGGATATAAGGGTGACGATGGTGAAAGGGAGCGGCAAAGAAAGAAAGGAATGTATAGCGAAGGTCTTGGAGGGTTGCATTAAAAAATAATGGGTTCTCCAGGCAGCAGCAACCGGGTATCCGTCGTTCGTGAAGGTGGTTGGAGGGCGTTGTTTTTGCCAGTGGTTGTAATTATGATTTATAGGACATATGTCCTGAGTTAGGGGTGGCCCAGGGAATCCCAGCCGTGAGGGAGAGGGGAAGTTCAAATCGCTGTAACGTATTCATCTTCGTTAAGGGTACCACGAGTGTTGCCACTCGAGAAATACCAAGTGCTCGAATTATTTTACTCCTGTAGACAGAAGCGACGGTGCTGCCTCTATTCGCCTTCGGAGGTACTTCTCTCTTTATCCGTTCCTGATCGCTTTCTTTTTTTCCTGTCCCACGGGGTATAACCCTCTGTCTTTAAAGTTTTCAAGGTTCGGTCTTTATGTTAAATCGAGAAAGTCACGTACGTCATTAGTCTCGGTATTGTCGCTCTGAAGAAACTCACCAAGTATATTTCGTATTATGCGAAGGCGACGCCAATGATCGCACAACGTGTTCTCGGCTGAAAATACGAAATTCATGAGAAAGTCGGGAATAATCCTTGGTTACCGTATGAAAATACTGATCTGCTTATTTTTATAAGGATTCCTGGACCAAGTGATCATAGTTGTGAAAATACGATGAAATTATGAATAGGGTTAATTTAACGTATCTGCACGTCGCCACCGAGAGTCTTTATCTGTTTTCAAAATGATCCAGACGTGGCGAGTTACTTTGAAGTCGGACCAATGGCGTGGGATTAGCTGTGGCGCTTTCAATTAAATGTAGATTTATCGTAACTCAACGAGAGAAACTTCGTGCTTTCATTAATCGCGATAAGGAAGCGAGACGATAGAGTAGCAAATACTCTGTACTTCGGTCCCACCTTCCTCTCCCACCGACCCCCTCGAAGGTGGCTTATCTCCTCTGCACCGAATGCCCCAGAAGGCATCTATGCGACGAAATTCCGTCTCCGAGTCTGTATGTAAGGAGGGAGTGTCTTGTACAACCGTCATTATAGAGAACTAAATAAAGATTACGCAATCGTTATAATAAGAGGGACATAGTAAGTCTTAATAGTCTTTGGTGGTAGGAATTTTTTTTTTTCTGTATTTTTTAACCTTCTCCATACAGGTTCGATGTTTACGAAGGTAGGGATTTTGGGTATAATGCTGAATGTAATCTACCTTACCGACCTCTCTCGAAGGTTCATTCGTACTGAGAAAATCATGAGAACGCTTTTCCTCGGCTTTTCCTTTATTTACTTACAATGTTCTGGCGATTTTAAGCGTATTTCACCCTCTCGGGACTGTGTCTGGAATAACTTTGGCTTTGCGACTATATCGGGAAATGAGAGGAATGGGGATAAAAAAGGGAAAAGAAATGAGTAAATCGTTCCCAATACAATTCGTGGACCATAAATTTTCCAGATCAAGTCGTTCCCAGCAACGGAATTCTCTCGCGTACCAGCGACCATACGCTCCGTGTAGTGGAGTCTATACAAGGGCACCTTTTGCGAATCAGGGCTAATCCTTCGCGTTAGTATTTCGATCCGTCTCGGAATCAAGACAAACTGCTTTCCGTTGGGTTTCGGATCATGGCGCTTTCCAACGTACGGCAGAGTCGAATTTCTGTGGCCTTCCGTTCGGCGAAAGAGCCAAGAAGAAATTATAATCAGCGGATGAGATTTAGAGGGCAATTAAAGTTTTTCGTAAGAAGCACGCCGGAGTCAAGCCAAATTACAGTAATACCACATTTCTTAAAGAAACAGTCCTATTGGACTGGAAAAAGAACACAATGGTCAAAACCAAATAGCCAAAGGTTGCCCATAGGTAAAATAGCATCTTCCATCTCTCCAATTCTGAAGGTGCAGAGATAAAAAATAAAAATTATCAAATTTCAAATGTATAAAATAAAAATTTATCCACTGACGTAGAGTCGAATGCAAATTTGTAATATTCTAAAAAAAAAAAAAAAATTGTGAATACATAAAATTTCCTAATTCAAACTAACAGTTCTCAATTCCATAAATCTTCGATCCCGATACGCGGCTACCAAGCGTTCCTATTTTCTCGATATTAAGGAACTCGGTTGAAGACGTAATTTTTGTAGAATCACGATTGCATCGAACCACCCAAGAAACTTGTACCATTACATCGTCGTATGGTGTGGCTATCCTATTTATCCTTTCCGGAAGTTTCGCAGATGGAGATGCAATATATCAATGGTTCGGTGGATGCAACAACTTTCGCGAACGAACGAACGGCACTTCGCGCTTCGTTGAATCGAGAGGAGCAGCAACTTTCGCGATGTTCCTAAAGAAATCGCAAAGCTTAGCCGGAAAATTCTTTTCATGCGGTTTTAGCCAGCCAGCAGCGTATACACGATATATCACTGTATATACATATATAAACCGATATCGAAAGTTAGGAATGTTATAAAATCCGCATTCCGATCGCTGACCGAGTTCAGTTTCCGAGAAGATCGCAGCGATGACAGTCATTAATTTGCTTTCAGGTTTTCCGGAATCTAAGCCATACGTTAATTAAACGGCGGTCCGGCTGTGGTGAAGTTACCGCACCCTCTCAAACCGTTCAAGCCAATATATCTATATACACATATATATCTACTATACACACGTTTAGTATTGAGATCGATAAGTTTGATCGCATCGATGAGCTTTCAAACCTGAAAATTGATAGACCTTATATGCACCATGCATATACCCATAGTCGATTGCAGTTCTGGTCTTGATGG